TATCCATCCATTCATGAGGGAGAAATGAGCACTGTTGTGTCAGCAAAGTAATGTTGTTTGCACACCCAAGAAAACAAAGAAGAAATAGAAGAAGAAAGATGTCACTTTGCAACAGTAGAATCCATGTTAACAAAGCAAGAGATGTAATGTGTATACCACATTGTGCTAAAACATGCCACTCAAGTCCTTCTTTCTTTTACAGGTATGGAATCAATATATACAGATATGGAATCAATCCCCTGCACACACCTCTCACAGTTGCAGTTCACTCTTTCTGGGTGTGTGCAATGGAAGGAAAGCCCAGCCCAGCCCAGCCCAACATATATACATATATATATATATATATATATATATCATAAATGTGGAAGTGTGGACAGAATCCATTCACCAGACGCAACTGGCAGCAACCCTTCATCACAACCAACACAAGAGCACTGGCAGTAATAGTTATGACAATAATGGCAGTACTAACTAGTAGTATATGTCAATGTAGAAGGCCAGCTGCTGCAGCAGCAGCAGCAGAGGAGGAACATAATATGAGCAGCACCCATCCCATCTCAGGGTGTGCTCTCACTCTTTTTTGACTTCACAGTCTCTCTTTGTTTTTCCACACTTTATTATTTTATATTATTTTTTCTTCTCTTGGAAAGGAATAACAAAAGCCAGAAAGAATCAAGGGATTGAAAGAATGAGTGAAGTCTGACTAGAGGAGAGGGGGAGAAAGTAACATCTGAGCAGTAAATCCTTACAAGATGCATAGTGTGAGGATGATGGGGATGGGACAAGTGCCACATGGGGTGGTAGCAGTCATAGGAGGGGAAAATAGAATAGGGGGTAAGGTAGTAGAGGGGGGATGCTTGCATGGGATACCAGTCACCCTCATCATCCAGGACCAGGGTGACTGACATTTATGCTCCCAAAAGGTGCTTGCTCTCTGGGACCCCCACCCCTTCCCTTCCTCTTTCTCTGTCTCTCTCTCACTGGGTGTGTGTGTGTGTGTGTGTGGGTGTGAATGTATGTGTCTTGTGTGGTTCTCCCCCCTAGCTCTCCTCCCTTGGCTAGTCCCCCTTCTTCTCCTCCCTTTCCTCTGGGTCTTTTGCTGCTTCTGGAGTTACTGCTGTGCCACCTTTCCCTGTCCTCTTCCTGGTCTGGCCTGGCCTTTGCCATGACTGGGGAGGGGTCATGCAACCCAGGTGAGGGTGAGGGTTGTCTTTCTGTGCATGAACTGCATTCTGCTCCAATGGAGTAGTGCACTGTGGCAAAGCAGTCCATCGTGGGAGATGGAGGAAAGAAAGGAAGGAAGATGGGGGGGGGATGGTGGTGGTCTGCTTGTGCACCACTCCACCCCAATCCCCATTGTATTCACATGGAGTCCCTCTCTCAACCCCTACAGACATCCTTTGCTTGTGGGGTGGCTCTCTCTCTCTCTCTCTCTGACTGACTGACTGACTGACTTACTGCTCTGCCCTACTACCCCACCCTCCTTCCTGCTTCTCTCTAATATTAAATTTGTCTGTGTGTTTTTGTTTTTTTATTTGTTTCTTGAGTTGTTTTGTTTTGTTTTGTTTTTTATGAATTAAATAAGATTATAATTTGTGAAGTGTTTTAATTTAATTTTTAAAAATTAGGTACACACACTTTTTCAATTACAAAAAGTATGTTGAACTTTAATATCCATACCAAAATTGCTCAACGGATTTTTGAATAAAATTCTATGTGCAGTGATATATTCATAGAGTGAGAGAGCTCCATAATGCATGTATGTATGTCTGTGTACATAAATATATTTATTTGTTTATTTTTGGGTTCTGAATTTTTACAATATAATTTTTTATAGTATATATTAGTTCACCTTAACTAAATTCAGAAGTAGTTTCAAGAATGTCTCCAAAAATCAATAAGACGTTTAGTTTATGAAATTATGTCTATAACATAGAATTTAAAATCAAGTCTATCATTTTGAAGCTTTTATAAAATTAAATTATTGTGAATTGAATTTTCAGAAAAAAATGAAAGTGAATTAAGATTGTTACACATAGTAGAGAGGAATATCCATAAAATGAGTGAAGAAATAGATATTCATTGATTCTAAAAAAATTTCATGGTATTTCCTTTTTTCTTAAATAAAAATTAAATCTAAAATGCAATATAATTCATGGTTTCAAATTTTTCATTCTTTATTACTATAAAATTTTAAAACTACTATAGATATTCAAGTAATAGTCTTCACTTATGGATTTTACAAGAACATGAAACAAACATTTTTTTCTAAAAATATCATGTGAAGAAGTTCTAGTAATTCTACATTACATCTTGTCTTTGGAAAGAACTTTCATCTCAAATGTGGGAAAGAAATTTTACAACACAAATAAGTCTCATTCATGCACATTTAAGTTAATATATAATTTCTTCAAGTACACAGTATGTTGCTCAAAAGTTCCTTGAATGAGGAACCAGGTATATGACCATCAATAGGAGCAGAATGAATGTATTCATGTATTCATACACACACAAACACACAGCAATCAATCACTTACCTTTACACAGGGTGCACCAGTGGAATTCATAAGAATAATATGCATTTCACTCTGAATTCCTCACTCTGACCATTGTCTTGAGAGTAGGATATGGCATGCATGCCTAACCTATGTCAGAGATTGGACCTGTACATACCACCCAAGCAATAGACACACACTTTCTTGTTATGAGTTGTTTAATTCTTTACAGAACACTAGAAATAAGTTGCATCACTCAAGGGTGCAACTTTGCATGGCCACAGCCCTGCAGATATAAAATTGGATGTAAGCATATCATAACTTTACCTGAAGTAGTTGCCATGCAAAATACTATTGGTACCATAGAAAAGAAGCTGTATGATGGGAGGTCTATTATCTTATTTTTCCCACTTCTTGGAATATGGACAGTAGGCACAGTCATATTTTATGCACATCATTGACAATGCTTCTTGCATGCCCCTCCCAGTTACACATGGTGGGTCTGTTCAGAATGTGGGAAGTTAAGGGGACCAGGCTTGCTGGCTTCTGTCACTGGAGATAAGATCATGAGGACATGATAACAGTGGTGAGCATCCCACTGGAAGAGAAACACATGAACAGAACAATTGAATTTTACAACAGTAATTTAGCTCCAAATTCAATGGCAGCTACAATCTTCATTTGAACAGCATACGCCACCAGAACAGTCACTTCACAACCTCCTCCCGAGGCTGGCCATGCTTCCCTGTGTACTCTCACAGCTCTCGATGCTAGTTTGGCAATATTCAGTGCCATAGCACTTGATGTGCACAAGATCAGCCACTGAACAGCAGCACTGAACAACAGCGTTGTAATCAGATAGCTACTAACCACAAACTGTGCGTAGAAGCTTATTGACAGGGTTCCTTTCAGGCATAACTTCAGCTTATTGTCTGCTTATTCGAACAAACCTTGTTCACATCTAGCAAAGCTTCAAGAGAAAACCTTGAGGAGCAAAGCTAAACTCCTGTAATGGTTCGATAGAAGCTCAACATGATTCCTACACAATCACTTACATTGCTCCAAGGAAAGCAGGAAACAGCCACTGGAAATATAAACCTCATCACAAGGTGAATGCACCCATAAACATTCATGTTTAGTTGCAAAATACATCGAGTAGTGCATGAACACAAAATACAACAGGCAATTTCAAGTCATGATAATTATGACTCGAGGAACTCATCTCCCCTCCTTGTGTTCAACAGGAAAGCTGCAGAAAACTAATCCCACAAACAGCCATAGGTGTATGAAATGTAACCACCAACAACACTATATCTTTCCCGCAGGAGTTAGCAAATCGAAAAAGCAATATCATTCCTCAAAAAACAAGCTACATCTGACCATCGAAAAGACTTTGGATGTATGACTTGATCAGATACCCTACAACCTGTCGTTTCTATTGGAAACCATGTATAAACCCTGTGAGGCTTAACAGTAGATCTAAAATGTATCATTAACAAGAATTCTAACCTACGGAAGGTAGAATGGTCCGTTGCTGACCTGAAAAAATTGCATGAATGAACAACACAAATTGCAGGTAATTGCTTGAGAATACATGGACAAAATAAGCTCAAAATCATATCTCCTGAGCACTAGTATTATTCAAAAAATAGAAATAGTGAACTATCGCAACCTAGAACCTTTTTCTATCAGAGTTAAACAATAGCATATGAAGAGACACTGAATTCGACTAGAACAATCCGGTAAAACTAACTACAAACTCCACCTTCAACATTAAAATGTTAATAAATGAACGTGTCAAAGTGCCTAGGATTAGCTTGCAACAGCCAATGATACTCCTAACAGGTTGTAGCACATGCCAACAGCTCTGCCTCTACCGTCTAGAATGTGCTTTTGAGACTAACCCTGGTTTAAATCGATCAAATTACGTTATCATTTACATGAGCTTGAAAACAAGTTCACATGATGTTATTTATTTCTTTTAATTCAGTTCTGTGGCAAGCAAAATCAGAACGAAAACACAAATAACCACATTAAGCAGAAGACAGAGCTAATCACATCCTGCAACAACCAATACAAGAAGGAACGAAAGGAACTGCAAGGACAGGCAGAACATAGTAGCATTTGAACCGGCATTCAGCAGAAGCAAACCCCTAACATATGCTGAAAAGACACTCAACATTGCCAAATACCATGCAAAATACACGCCAACCCAGACTATTTGCAAAATCACGACAGCAGCTACACAGCAAAACAAAAATCGTAGCAATCAAGAAGAATGACTGAAGATACAACCCCGGACACAAGACAAATTACAACTTGATTTTCATAATTAAAAGCATCAACAAAATCCCTAAACCTCACAGGCGCAATTACATCCCGCATCAAATTTTAATTGGAAAACATGGCATTCTATACAATGGCATTCATTAACAACTGTCAATCTCGGTGTTCTTGAAGTGTATTGAAAATACACAATGGGTATATGTGACGATGTTACATGTGTAAACTCAACAAAGACAAGCATCGAAATTCAACAATTGGAGTTTGACCCGAACGGCGATAACAACCATTTGATGTACATTTAAAAAAGACCTGTGTGCTCACAAGTTTTTGGGATTGTAATGAAAAGGTTCGTATAACTATATAGACAATATCCACAAAAACATGAATTCTCACAACCTGTCCTCCACACTACCATCCTCAGCGCTTGCCTCCAGCACCGCTCTTCGCAGCCTTCGGCTGTGGACCCCGTGCCGCCTGCTTCCCCGGCCCCTTCGTTGTCTTCACCACCTCGGCCTTCTTCGCCTTCTTCTCGTCCTTAGTCTTCTTGATCCTCTCCTTTATCTCCCGCAGCGCTGCCTCGCGAGCCGCGGCGCGCACCTCCGTCTTCTCTGTCCTCTTCTTCTGAATCACCTCCATCGATGCTCCCACGATGGACCTAGAGTATGGTTTGTTCGTGGTCCTCCTCTTCTTCTTCACTGTGGTGTCGTGAAGGTCTTTCTTGTGCTGTTTCCGGAACAACGCCGTCCATGACAGCTTCGCGGGCTTCAGCCTATTGTGGAAGTACCGTTTGCACTTGCTGTTGAGGAAAAGGAACACCTGACTATCGCTCCGGATAAACCTAATCCCCCGGCCGGGATAGATCTTCCTACCGGAGAACCGACACACCTCTGTTTTGAGCACCATGGTTGCAAGCAACGGGAGAGAGCAATATTCGAGAAAAAGCACGACGTTGTGACGTCGTTGCCAATAAGACGAAGCTCCGGCGCTGACCTTCCCAATCGGGGTCCGAGCCTTGCTCGTTACCCAAACCCTAATTCATCCCCTCCTTCTCTCATCGCTTTTTCCAGTGTTTATTGCCAAATGGGCACATTACAATTAACTACTCATTATTTAGCTCACAATGTAGTCTTTTAATTACATCAGAAGAAACTTGTTTTTATTTGCATACTTGGCTTGTTAGTTGTTATTTAAAATACTATATATATATATATATATATATTTATTTGAGTACATATATACACACATATAATGATTTTAAAAAATAAAAATGAAATAAAACACCTAAATACCAAAACATATGGAAAACATAGTATTTTATATCTAAATCTTTGTTTCAAAAAATCGTAATTGGTTAGATTTTGGTCCAATTCATCAATTAATTTTTAAATTTTTAAATTTTTATGAAAAACTTGGGAGCAGTGTACAATGAGTATCACAAGCTATTGCATGTAATATACATGTCATTATAAGACCAAGTTTTTTGTACTTTACTAATAAAAAAATTCTTTTAACTCACTAGGTTGATTTACTTCTATGAAAAAAAAATTCTTATAAAAGCATCAAGACTCAATGTCTTCTTCATATGTGTTCTTTGTCTAAATTCTTAACAAAGTATACCTCATACTAAAATACAAACAAGTTGAAAATATCCCTCTTTGCATAATGTTTTTGTAAATTCACAAAAGATACAATTAATACTTTATACAAACAAACAAACATGTTAAAAATCTTCATCTCTTTCTAAATTCTTTGCAAAGTCATAGAAGAATACTTACTAACTTTTTGAATTTGTTTTTATTTTTTATTTTTTACATCCATTTTTTTTTGTTTTAAAAAAAAATTATAACAAAATCTCCCTCCTTGCACAACCATTTTAGAAATCTGTAGAGGATACAACTAATAACTCATTCTAACAAATAAACATGTTAAAAAGCTCTTTCTATACACAACATTTTTGGTAAGTAAAAAAAAAAAAAAAAAAAAAATCACTAATTTTTTGTATTTTGTATTTTTTGTTTTGTTTTGTTTTGTTTTGATTATTTTATTTTATTTTATTTCTATTTTTCTTTGCTCTTTTTTAAAAGATTGTTTTCTTTTGTTTTTTTTTTTTAAATATGGATTATTTTGTTACATTTGTTTTCTATAATAGAGAGCATCCTTGCTTTCATGCTTCAAAAGAAGACTATTTAGTTGAATCGACTATAACAAAATGATATAGAAAGTTGAGATCAACAAATCTTACACTTTATATGAAGTAAGTGGTGTTACGACATGTTTTTGCCTTCCATGTAAGAGCTATTGAAGGTTAAGTTGTTTGTAGGCATACCAAAATAGCTCTACAATCTATTAATTGCCAAAATTAACTAAAGAAGATTAAGTTTTTCATAAAATTGTTGGTGTAGAACAACATGTTCATATCATCTTGCCTTGAAGGACCTTAGGCACATCTTGATAAATCCAAATAGAAAGTACAATATATTTGGAGGTATAAATAAAAGATGTGGATTTTTTAAGATTCTTTCTTTGGTAAAAGAATAAATTGGTGGTTTTGTCTACAATTTCTAATATAGTTATAATATTCTAAAGATGGATTCTATATATTTGAAGTACATATTTGTGAAGATTGTTTGAAATTGTTGTATAATCTTAGCAATAGAAAATTGGGTAATAATTATCAATTGTATAATAGCATCTATGCATTTATTTCAATTTGAATAAAAAATGTTAAGCCATTGCTTTAACTTGGTATTTTTACAAATTACATCAAAGAAGTCTTATATTATATAATAAGTTGTATGTTGCCCACCGCATTAGATAAAATACTTGAAGTTGTTGAAGTTGACAAACTTGCAAAAGAGGTATCAATTTAGCATTAAATGTAGATAAATTTCACACCTAATTTGACTTTAGGTAGCAAAACTTAATCTCACTGACAAATGGTTAGAAAATAGTGGTGAGAAAATATATTCCAGTTGTCAAGTTTTAGGGTCCACACCTTCGATATTCAGGGTCAAAAATAGTCCAAGATTAACATTGTTGATATTTACTGAGATAAGTCACAAATATAGCTAAAATTGCTAACAAATGTTGTATAAGTCAGGCAGACTCTTTTGAAAATGAATTCCGTCTGATCAAACCAAGTGATTAGTAAATTTTTTTTATAAAGAGGGGTTGAATATGGATTTCAAGCTCTTTTGAAAGGATGATTTTGAGGGAGAAGAATTTGTGATCATAACTATATCATATTCAGATTGTGAGGTATAGGCCTTCTTAACAGATACCATGCAATCCTCTTGTCAAGGACAAGAACTTGATAAAAATAAATAACCAAGTAAGACTTTTCTCAAAGAAAGATGACAAAATAGAAATAACTCAATATGTATATTAAGAAAGAAACTGGAATGGCTATTGCTAAAAGACAAAAAAACTAGAGACCCTTAAAACTAGACTAAAAGCAAGAAAGGAATTGATAAAAGTGAAGAGGGCTTCACTCTTGTCTCTATATATACTATCTAATTAGAAGCTACATGGCAATATTCTATAGGACCTCCAATATGTGTTGACTTTATAGGATACATGCCTTGACTTACAAGACAAGTTTTTCTATGTGTGAGCCACATAGTTAGCTTGGTCTTCAAGCTAACAACATGTGTGGCACATGGCCAACTTGTTGACCATGTTTCTAATCCAAAAAGTCAATTAAAGACACCTATAAAGTCAAAGCAACATCTATAAAGCTTCTAAGAAGCTTCTATAGTAAATATTATAGAATTAACATATTTTTACGTATTTTTACTTACTTCTTCCTATTTATAAATGTAATTACTTGCTTACATGCATATGTCCGTGATATTATCCTCCCTTCTAGGAACAAGTTCCACAAGGAGCGGTCATCATATGTTGAAGAAATCTATGATGCAATGAATTGTATTCACCACATACTCTGATCTTTGTTCTCTTCAAAGATGATTGATAGGACTTTTCAACCATCGATAGTGTCTCATACTAGGGCGGGAAGACCACCCAGTTATTTGATCGTTATTGAGGCCTTCATAACTTCCTTTGAATAAAATATTTGAAACATCATCAGGAGTTGTTCCTACTTCTAGTAAAATTACAAAACATCGAGAGTCCCTTCCAAGGTCGTGATACCAAACGCATTATATCTCGCCATCTATTCAAGGAAGAACATGTCGTTCTTGAAGATCTTCATCTTGATTGCGTCATCTTGAAGGATGTGACAATTGTAATGTCTTGTTTGATAAGTCAGCAAACAAAGGCTCTTGAGTCAAATCCGCTAGTTGTTGATTTTCCATCTCATCAACGTCACAACTACAAAGAAGCTACAAATAAGGATTGAAAGTAGAATATTATTTTGCCTAGATCTTGTTTTTTTTATAAGAAAGATTTTTATTTTGATTTTGATGGATATTGTCGATAAAAAGCCTCTAGCACCTTTGTTGCATTTGCAAGATTCTTTCCTTGCTCCCATGTACATTCACTAATATCATATCCGTGCTAATGGACAAGATATTCCGATTTATTTTGGTGTCACCTTGAATCTAAGACTTCTTCTACTTCGAACTCTTCATTATTGTCTACTTCTACAGGAAGAAGTGGAGCTTGTCTTCTTCTTGGTATGTCCATTGTCTTGTATGGTTCAAGAAGAGATACATGAAATACTAAATAAATTTTCATTGACTTTGGTAGGTATAAACGATATGCAACTGGATTGATTTGTGCAGAAATAGAAAATGGTCCAAGCCTTGAATAGTCTAATTTGTGACAAAGATGAGTGGTCTTGATATTGCAACAAAATAACCATACCTTGTTATCCATGTGGAATGGTGGTTGTTCCTTTCGATAGACATCCGCATTGATCTTTTGTTGTTCTTGAGCTTCTTTTAACTGTGCCTTCATCGTTGCATTTAGCTCTGACAAATGAATTGTCAAATCTTTTGCTACAGGATTATCAACTTTTGAAAAGTCAAAAGTATCAAGTCATAGATGATAACCATAATTGGCAAAGAAAGGTATTTTTTTTGTAGAAGAATGTACTATGTTATTGTAAGCAAACTCTGCCAATAGCAAAAGAGTTGTCCAATCATCTTGTTGGTAGTTGATGGTACATCTTAAATACTATTTCAAAACTTGATTAACATGCTCCATTTGTCCATTAATTTGAGGATGGAATGTCAAAGATAGTTTCATATCCACTTTTAGAATCTTGAAAAGAGTCCACCAAAATCTTGATACAAACTGAGTTCCTCTATTTGATATAATATCCTTAGATAATCCATGATAGCGATAGATATTATCAACAAAGAGCTTAGTTGTTTCTTCACCTGTGATGGATTTTTTACATGGTATAAAATGTGCCATCTTTATAAAACGATCTACTATCACGAATATAGAGTCATAAGAATCTGAGATTGGAAGATCCATCATGAAATCCATAGAAAGAGAAGACCATGGTTGTTCTGGAATAGGTAATGGCTGAAGAAGTCCGTAAGATTGATGGCAAGGAGTTTTTGATCTCGAGAAAACATCACAAGATTGTACAAAATCTTTGACTGATTTCTATATTTGAGACCACCAAAAGTCTCTAGATATTAGTTCCAAAGTTTTATTGTATTCAAAATTTTCTGCTACTAGAAAGTCATGATGAGCTTAAAAAACTTGTAATCGAGCTTCACCTTTTGGAACATATAGATGTTCCTTGAAATATAGTAGATTGTTCTTGAATTCAAACTTGGAAGTATCTTCAGACTTTGAAGGATTTTCCTTAATATCACGAATAAGAGGATCAGAAGACATACTTGATTGAACTTGCTTAATGAAAGTTGATACAATAGTTAGTGTTGATTTTATAACTCAAAGATGAAGATGCTCTAGCTTCAAGAGAATTATTTGTTGTTGATCAAAAGTATCATCTCCTTCTTTTGGTGTAAGATAAGATTGTCTAGAAATTG